TGTCGCATACATCATTAAAGCCCCAGTTGACAGATTTAATTTTGTCATCCCTATATGCAGAAATTGATCTAGCCAATCTTTTATTATTGAAATCCATAAAAATCTATTGCAATGTGCTTTCACATGAGATAAAAAATGCTTTAAGAGTCTTGCCCGGGGATATATAAAAGCCACCTCACCTACTATCTACTACTGTGTTATTAGAAGGAATTTAGTTCAAATGTAAACAGAGGCATCTGTTTATAGCCTCCAAAGACTAGGTGATTAAGCTTGAAAACAAAGCTCCTCCTAAATTGTCACGTGTTGAGGGACACAATCTGGAGTCACGTACACACACACACACACACCAAATACATGCTAAATATATAGTGCTCTCAGTGGAAATCTCTGTCTTAAACCAATATACAGCGTAGTGTGCCTTTTTGGCTACTGGAAGCACATGCATTTAGAAGGTCGCGTGAACATCAACTTCTGTTTGGAAAATGTAATGACTGGCTCCCATGAGGTCCTCATCTCCACGACACCGGTGTGCCTCGGAAATGCTGCGGGTTCGGCTCCAGATCACCACAGCGTGAGTACCACAACAAAGAGAGTCATCGTCTTTTCACTGGTGGAGGGCTTTGCCTTCAATTAAAAAAAAAAATCCGTGAAGCACAATACAACAAAGCGCAGTAAATCGGGGTATGGCTGCACAGGACGCCACCCTATTAGTCCCGAAGAAGCCAGAACAGGACTCTCTTGGAGGCCCAGTCATGAAAAATGTGCTCGCTTGAAGAGCCGCTGGCAGATCTCACCTTCACAGGTAGGGGAGGCCTGAGCAGAGCCCACTGGGAACCTGAAAATGGTACTTGAAGGATTTGATTCCATGTGAGTCGTTGTCAGTATCACAGGATGGGCGCCTGACCAGGAATTCCCCACTGAGAGGTCCTGCGAGGTACTCAGAAAATTTGCTGTCTCTAACGACAGATCCTTTGACCCTTTCCACGTTGTTTCCGAGCGCTGTCCTCATTTTCTCACTTCTCTTGAATAAAAGTAAAAATGGCTCACCTCTTTCCCGCACTTGTACCCTTGAGCTCTGAGCGCTCGATGTGTATCAGCCCGTGTGACTCTCAGACTCCACGATGCAGCATCGATTGCCTGGCTGACCATCATAATTACGTCCTTGCAATACCTTCATCTCCTTTGATCTTCTCTCTTTCCTGTGTAAGCCTCTGTCAAAACCCCAACTCTTGTGAAACTCAATCACTGACTCCACATTTGCACAGAGCAGCTGACAGTGGCTGGAGGAAAACAATGGTTTCCTCCCTTTCTACCCCATCCTCCATCCTGCACAGCTCAAAGCTTTGCCTCATCCATCGTTGAGATATTTGAAGCTCCCTCACATTTTCCATCTCCAAATCTTCCCGTCTAAGGCATCGGTGCACACTCTGTCTTCTTTCCTGTTTGTAACAGATGAAGTGTACTTGCTCCCATTGAAAACAAGACCTCCATCTGCGTCTTGGGTACCAGTCCCTCTTCTCCATGAATTACCACTATAATTACCCTCTTTTTTCTGAATCATCAATTTCTTCCTCTCTACTGGATCCTTTTCATCGGATAGAAATATCCTCTCATATTTATTTCAAACAGAAGAAAACTTCTCTTGATCTCATATCCTTTTCAGCTAAATAGCCTGCTGACATCCGTTTGGATGTATAATAGACATCTCAAAATTAATACAAATGAAGTAGAAATACTGACTCCATCCTTCACCCCCAATTTCTTGTCCCTGTATGCCTCATCTAAGTAGATGAAGCACCACCATCCATATAATGACTTGAACCTAAAACAATCATCTATGAATCTTCCTTTTCTTTACTGCCTGCATCCCCAAACCCTGTGTCTCTCCACTACCCTTCCAGACACACTGACCTCGTACCTTAGAGACTTTGCACTCCATGTTCGCTTTGCCTGGGATGCTTTGCCCACTCTCCATCTCCCTTCCTGTCACTCAGTTTTAGCTCAAACCTCAAGGAAGACATTCTTGACTCCCCATTTTAACTAAATAAGGCCCCCACCATCCATTGCTAAGAAAGCATCCTATATTTTGTTCCCCCAAATTATCTTGTTCATTATCTGTTTTTGCTGGTTTACCTTTCATCTCCCCCCACTGCTGCCTAACATGTAAGGTGTGCGAGAGACGCTTGCAGGAGATGCAGCCAGGGCCTCGCCCACGCCCCCCTGGCACTCAGCATTCCAGGCGTGTTCACTGGGTGCTCAACTTCAAGCACTGGTGACCTTCGCTCAAGGGCCTTCTCTGGCCGCAGGAGCTCACTGGGCCCACACGGGGCAGGATGGATGTACTCGGCCGTTAACACCTACCCCCATCCACTCTTGAGCAGCCCTCCACCAAGGACTGATGAGAGTTGGTATATAAGTATCCGAGCCCCCTCACCCTCAGATGGGAAAACTTGGCTCCCAGAATATATACTTGGCTCCCAGAATTCCCCGGCAAAATTGGACCTAGTTGCCCATAATCATAACATCAACAAAGCATCCTTTAATTTCTTCCTTCCCTTTCCTGTCTCATTTCCCCGTACTTCTCAGAGCTTTCTGAGATCACCTCCCAAGGAAACAATTTGCACTTACACTCTTATCACAGCCTCTGGGGAGCCCAACTGAGAAAACCTCCTTACGTCTCACCTCCAGTGCTTACAACAGGCTCTGGCACACAGTAGGCGCTCAATAAATATTTGTCGAACAAATGGCTCCATCTCTCTTCCTCTGACCTCCACTCACCCTTTGGGAAATTGCAGCCTAATTATCATATGACATAGCTGTGAAGCATTCTCAATTTCGAAGGCCTATGGAGCCTATGCATTCCTGAAATGGGAAATGGCTAAGATCTTTGTCATAGGATTGTTTGGACACAATTATTTCTGGCAAGTCATCTCCTTCCCCGTTCTACCTTCCATGCTATCTGCCCTGGAGTCGGGGAAGAGGAAAGGAGTTCGGTCCCAGGAGAAGAAAAGCTAGCAGAATGCCCGGCAGAGACATTGGCCTTGGCAAGATCTGCATCCTCAGATTCCTACCCTGCAGAAGCTTCTCCTGCT